TCAGTTGAGTGTTGACCAACCTTTGATCCTTAGGCCTCTGAGAGATGTTCTAACTTTCACAGAGAAACCAGCTTTGCCTACCAGACCATAGCCCACACCAACTATTGTGAAGTGTCCCATCGGAAGACATGCCATTACTAGAAAATGACATCTGAAGAATCTGCACCTTCAATTTTTATGAAGAGGAATATAACTACTGTGTGGAAATTTTTTTGCTATGGCACTTTCCACCTGTACCACGCCTCCATGTAAGTTGCAGGGCTAGGTATTGCTTTTTTCCCAGGAGATCTGTGGTAAGTTTTTCAGTGTGTATTTCTCACTCCACATAGGTATACCTTTGTTTAGTGACTTTATGTGAGCTTTTGTAGGTGGACCTAATTTCTGCACTCAATAATTTAGATCATTCATGTCTTCTCTGCTCAGTGTTGAGTAAGTTATATTTTTATACCTCTTTTACCATCTAGGTTAATTTCTTTTAAACTTGCATTTGGAATTTCTTTATTTACATTTTTACTTCTTTTCACTGTTCATGTTATTTTGTTTGGAATTTTTTTTTCTTTACTACTAGTCACATCTAATTGGGGATTAGATTTGTGTTAAACTTTGTTATTGTTAGCTGGGTACCTTTTTATTCTCATGTTCTTTCAGGTCTGTTTTATTTTCATGTCCGTTGTCTTGTAGTTTCTTTGAGTGGACTTATATGTTTGATATTTATGGGTCATTTATCTTCTAAGTTCCTTTCATGGTTTTGTACTTTAGGTGTTACTTATTGTTTTAGGTCAAATTTCATAGTTTTTCAGGTTTGTTATGTTTATGTACTTTGTAGACTTTACACATTTCTATGTTTTGTTTGTTTTTTAATAATGACTACTGTTTCTCAATTTATGTGTCTTTTTGGTTACACTTCATGACAGAATCGTGGGTTTCTGCCTTCTGTTTTGCTCCTCCACTTTCAAGATCTCCTTCCCTCCACCTTGGGTTCATACCTCTTCCCATCATTTTTCCAAGTCTGTTCAGGAACTACTACATAAAGGAGTTGTTGAATGGGTGAGTCCAACTCAACCGGGATTTTACTCCCATCTATTTGTTGTCTCCAAACACACAGGAGATTGGAGTCTCATCATAGCTCTTTCTCAGCTCTATTCTTATCTGGAGACACCTTGCTTCACTCTGGAGTCCTACCTTGCACTTTGGTGGTTTTATTGCACCAGTGTCATGTTGTTTTCAGAAGCCACTTGCCCATGTAATGGGAGTCTAACTACCCAGTGGGTGAAGATGACATGCAAAAGATCATACCACTCGACAAAACTTATACAGAGCTGTAGAAAGATCGATTTCCAGCACCCAAAACTTCAAGACAAAACCCTCGTGGATGAACCAAAGACTTGCCACTTCATATGCCTAGTCAGTCACTCACACCCTCTTACTTCTTCAAGAAGATGATCAGGTGGGGTTTCTCATCTAGTTGGATAAGTCCTTTACTACACCCTTACAGTATATTATTCAATTGGGGGTTCTCTAAATTTTTTTCTTCAGTACCAAGGATCACTTTTAAGAATCAGTAAAAATCTGATGGAAATGCTGGGAGAGAGGGGGAGGAGGAGACTTGGACATCACACTGAATGTTCCAAATGTTGATGATAGCTGAGGAGTTTTTTGTATTTTGTGCATTCACCTGGGAATATACATTGGACTTTGGTGAATAGTGATACAGTTGTGATTCTACCATTTGGGCTGCTTTTTGACATTTCTGACTCATTCACTGAAATCATCCCCCAAAATGTGAAAACATGGTATTCTTTTTAACATTAAAGATATTTTACATTGTCTACTTATTTAAAATCTGTAACAATCTGCCAGTGGTCCTTTAATATCTAGATGTACTCTAGATATAATCAGTAACACTTTCAACTTTCAGTTTGACTAATGTTATGTGTCATGGCCTTATGCAAGTTTGAATATTAGTTGCACATTGCTATAAATAAATAATGACAGACTGATTGTAGTAATAAATTATGACTTTTGATTATAGCTTGCATTTTTCTTTGCAAACAGATATTATGCTATAAAAATTTGATGGTGAAGTTTTACTTCATGAAATATGGAGCAGACCATGAGACAGTATTATTTTCTGTTTTGTTATTGTGCCACAAATAGCATTAATTGTAGTAAATGTTTGAATTGATGAATAGGAGTAGAATTTTGGTTTCACATACTTTTGAAGGTAACTGAACCTTATTTGACACTTTCAGCTAAGCTCAAACTGGTCAATTGTAAAACCCTGGGAATGTGTGGGGGCACCTTTTTCTGAATAAAAAGAACAGTTGCATTAAAACTTGAATGTACTGTTGATGTAAGAGTGCTATGTTTGATACTTTTCACTAAGATACAAGTCCAGCTTATCTCTCTTTGGTTAACTTGTGTTCAAGAAATCAAAACCTTGTTGAACCAGCTGTTGAGAACATTACACACGTGCTTAGAGGAAACTGTTTTCTGTTGTTGTTCCTAAATAAAACAATCCACACTAAAACTGAAAAACTAAATACCCCACCTACTGTTATGTTAGATGTACCAAAGAAATCTGTAACTTTAGTCATACCCTAATTAGCCAATATTTTGTATATGATTAAAAAGAAAATTATCAGCATATGTTTGCCTTACCACCATGCTATAACTTCAGCTACTCCAACTCTTCACCTCTTATGTGAGGCAATTTCCTCAAATGTTTTCCAGGTAATTAAACCTCATGCTACTATATGTGTGTGTGTGTGTGTGTATATATATATATATATATATATATATA